ATTGCACAGTCATGTGTCATAGATATTGTGCACAGAATTACAGGACCTATTTGCCTGTCTGGGTTTTGGTCTTGCTTTGGCATAATCTCTTCTTTCTATGCCCCTAATCCTTGAAATAGGAATGTTTACACTGTACCACTTTATATTGAATATATGTCATTTGCTTTTGATTTTTACAGGGGTTCACAGCTGAGTGTTTGCCTTGAGTCTCAGCTCAAGGACTTAGACTTTTGGGTAATGCTGAAGTTGTTAAAAATACAGAACTCTTAGGGATGGACTAAATGCATTTTGCTTTGTGAGATGGAGAAGAACTTTTGGGGGCCAGGGAAGGAATGTTATGGTTTGGATATGAGATATGTCAGCTCTTGTTATGCAGAAATATTCAGAAATGAAATGATTAGGGTATGAGAGCTGTAACCTAATTAGTCCATTCTACTTTTAATGAACAGACGGGGTGACAACTGTAGGCAGGTGAGGTATAGTTAGAGGAGGTGGGTCACTAGGGTGTGGCCTGGAAGGGTGCATTTGCCCAGTGAACTGTTTCCCCTGCTCTGCCTCTGCTTCCTGACCCGCCATGAGCTGAGCAGCTTTCCTCCACTGGGCCCTTCCCCCATGATGTGCTGCCGCAACTTGGGCTCAGAGCAAGGGGGTTGTTCATTTTTCAGACTGAAACCTCTGAAACTCTGAGCCCCAAATAAACTTTTCCTTCTCCAGGTTGTTTTTATGGGATAATTTGTTCACAGAAACTAAAAATCTAACTAAAACAATATACAACGTTGTAACAGAGTCAGTACAGAAATGGATAGGAAGATCTACTAAGCCAAATAGTGAAGAGATTTGAAAAGATGTAAAACAGTGCCACTTTTTTCATTTTAAGTCTGGGTTTCTAAAAACAAAGTGACATTACATTAACATGTCAATATGTTAAAAATTTCTGTTTGGATTTCTAAAATATCAAATATTTGTAATCATAACTCACATAAATGAAAGCTCCTTGGGGTCTGCAGTGATTTTTAAAAATGTAAAGAGGTGCTGAGACCAAAAAGTTTGAAAATTGCTGACCTAGCAGAATTACTGATTGTGAACAACTGCTACTTTCACTTGACTAGCAGAGTAGCATCAATTCCTTTCCTTTCTCACATCTGCACATTAATTTTCCTTTGAAAACTATTTGTCCCCTCTTCTTAGCCCATGAGATCTGCATTGGGTTAACTTAATCTTCTGACTCATTTGTTTGATTCAGTCCTATATCCAACCATGCCTGAATGTAGACCAAACCCTACATTTTCAACTGTGTGAACTAACAAATTGTCACTTAAGTCTATAAGAATCCTGTCTTAGTATTCCAAGGTACAAGGAAATATAGCTTGAGTAATGTTAATCTAAYCATCGTGTTGTTTATAGTTCAGTACTGACATATACTTTGAATCTTCAGTTATGTTCTGGGTCCTGGCATCTCTTAATACCTATCATTTCACTAGGCTTCAGCTTAATCACTTTATTAGCTTGAAAATAAATTAATCAGTTGATATATTTATATGTGAACAAATATTAACGAATCTATGCTAAATAAGACAGGCATATGCAATGAGTAAGACATATTTTAAAAGTAATTATAACAATACAGCCACCCCTTGCCTAAGATAGGCCCCTGGTCGCTTTCTCCCTGGGAGGCTGTTACTCTGGGATCAGTTGTAATTATCATCTTTATCTATGAGCCTTCTCTGACTCTCCAGAATATGTTTAGACCCCACTGTCATTAGTTGTCATTGTACTTGCACTTTGTCTTTGAAGCAATCACCAGGGTCTTGCTAATTATCTGTGTAATCATTTGTTCAGTATTTTTTTTCTCATCAGGGGTCAAGCCTCATATTCTATCTTGATGACTGAGTTCCCAGGTTTCAGCTCAATGCTTGAACATAGTGGATTCTCACTAACATAACTATGGAGTGAATAGATGAATGCACAAGTGTCATGTAGGAGAAGTAAAGGGTGTTGGGGACCAAAAACCAAAGGGCACCACCCTGGGCTAGGGGAGCAGAGGAGGACTCCTGGAGAAGTCTCTCACTTGAATGAGAGAGGATGAGTGAGCAGGAGAGACATTAAATGGGGGGATGGAGAGTAGACCCCAACTGGGGGTAGCATTTGAAGCTGAGTCTTGATACAGTTTAGGAAGTGCTATTTATGGATTTTTAATCTCAAGACTTTAGACTTTCTACAGGCAATACTTAGAAGCTATTATGAATATGGAAATGATACATATTTTTGCTTTTTAAAAGGAAGTCCTTATCAGTGTGTACAGAACTGTTCAGGGCAAGCAAGAGTAAAGGTAGCAGGATCAGTGAGGAGATGTAACTAATTCAGGGAGAAATGGTGTGACTTGAACATGGAGATAAGCAAAGGCTTTGAGGGTTCCTTCACTCATTTTAATCCAACAAATATTTACTGTGTGCCTATAATATGAAGCAATATTCTAGGAAATGATGAATATTATAGAGGTGAATAATAAAAAGTCCTTGAACATTTGGGGTTGACACAATCATTAGGGAGTGGAATGTTGGCAAATGAATAAATAAATAGCTGAGAAAGACATTACCTTGGAAGAAGCAGTCAGTAGATTAACAGTATAGTTTCCAACCCAGCCTCTAGAAGACAGAGTACAATGGGATGACCTCTTCTGAATAATAATGGAAAATAATTGCCAAGCAATAGGAATGACATGTGAAGAACTCTTAGGGATGTAACATGTCCCCAAAATAAAGATACTTGGTCAAACACACCTGATATGAATCAGAAATTTGAAGGATCTTCTAGTAACCTGAGAATCAAGAGTGAAAGGAATGAAAAAACATGTACAAAAAATGTATAAAACATTGTTACATTAAAACTTGTTAAAAATGGAAGAGTATCATTACRGATTTAGTTGTTATAACAGATTGAAAAATATTTGATCTTAATAAAGACTTATAAGAAGAATGAAATACAGAATTGTTTTCCAAATAAGGAAGAAAAATAAAAGGAAGGAGGAGGAGAAGGAGGAAATAAACCTACTTCCCAAAGCTAATAAATGAAAAGTAGAAAGAAACCAAGATTGCGTGGAATAGAAGATTGATGTTAATTATTTCTCTGCTGGAGTTAATTTTTTTTTTAACTTTTCCTATCAAACACACACATACACACACACACACACACACATTAATGTTAGAGGCATTTAGATAAACATACACATAATCATTTCATTTGCATGGACACTTTTTAAAAAAATCAACTCAGTCTTTATTTTATTTAAAAAAAAATTTTAATTGTCAATGGACTTTTATTTTATTTATATGCAGTGCTGAGAGTCTAACCCAGTGCCTTACACATGCCAGGCAAATGCCCTACCACTGAGCTACAACCCCAGCCCTCAGTCACTCTTCTTTAACAAACACTGAGCTCTAAATGTTCAATTTAGAAGAATTGTTTTAATAATTCAATGATGTGTTATTTGTGATAAATGTTGCATAATAAAAATACCYATTAGAGAACTAGGCAGAAAAAAAGATGCAAAACAAGTATCATTTTAAAAGTGGAAATATCCTAAGTTTTATAGGTGTTTAAATTGTCCAGCACCTCCCTCCTTCCCTTTGACGATGTATCAGGACAATTGTGAGCTAGGCTAATATTTTCATTTTTTTTTCACCAAGCGGACCAACTTTTCTTTAACAGCGAAACTAACATTCAACCCTATTACCAGATTTGTATAACACTTCTTCCTGTTGCGTGAGCTCTCCTGGATTGCCTGCTTCTGGCTGTGCAGGGCACTCCTATGTTCTATTCTTTTTTTTTTTTTACTTTTTTTTTTATTGTTGGTAGTTCAAAACATTACATCTATTTTGATATATTTCACAGTTTGATTCAAAAGGGTTATGAACTCCCATTTTTACCCCGTATACAGATTGCTGAATCACATCAGTTACATCAATTACATTTCCATTGATTTACATATT